CAGGACCTGCCCGGACAATGTCCCACTCAGAGGCAGACCATCCCGCAGGTATTAAAGGCAACTATCAGCTGCTCTCTGGGGTTTCCCTCTTGCACTTTCCGTGTGTTCAGATCCTGTTCCTACCAGCTTCACTTAGTCCTGTCTTGCTGGTCTTTCAGGTCTAACTAGAATTAGTGAATCATTAGTCTCCGTGGTTTAATTTCTAGTACGGTGAGATTGCTTCCCCAACAGTGTGGGTGAGTGTTTACTGCATTCTTAAAGCCCTGGAGATCAAAGCCTGGTAAATTTTCTTTATAATAACCATGTATCGATTTAGACTTTGAGAGAATGTAAGGGAGAGGAGTTAGCATGAACAGATTAACTTTTGACTTTTTACCAGATCCACTGGGGTAGTCATTCTGGGAGGCCTCCCAGGAGTCTCAGCCATGATCCCATTTAATTCCTCCAACAAGCCTGTGAAAGAGGTGCTTTGACACTCTTTTTATACATGCTGCATGGAGGCTGGCAGAAGAGAAGCCGCTTGTCCTACGTCACATGGCTGGTTGGCAGTGAGGCTGGAAGAGAAACCAGATCTGTTCATTCCAGAGCTTGGGCTTTTCTACGTCTTTGCAAAACACCTTCTCAAGCTCTGCTGCATTTAAAGTTTCTCCATTTCTGCAATGAGTCATGTCAGCAGTTACCATTGCTTTGGCCTACGTGCAGTTAATGTTGCTTGGTTCCGATATTTAAAACACTAACCAATAAATAATACTTAATGATCCTTAAATCTTATAGGGCATAAATAACCTCCTACCAGTGGTCACACCCCTATGTCTGTATGACTAGAAAGAAACCCAAAGCTGTATCCTAACCCCCCAGAGGAGGAGAAAAGAAGGTCAAAAGGACAGAGGGGAACCCAAAGACTAAGCATTCTGATATAATTTTTATGCCTCTCTAAAAACACTCAATTTCTTTAATACTGTTGCTGCCTAGCACTTGGACAATCCTCTAAGGGAGAAAGATAACAGAATCCTGTGAGTGTATACGGGTGTGGAAGTACCTATAACTCCTGCCCTCCATTCAGCCACATTTGCTGGGAGAACAAGGAACTGGCCCCCTCCATGAGGCAGCAGGGGTGCAAGACCTGGAGGGACCTAATGCCCTNAAAAGGACAGAGGGGAACCCAAAGACTAAGCATTCTGATATAATTTTTATGCCTCTCTAAAAACACTCAATTTCTTTAATACTGTTGCTGCCTAGCACTTGGACAATCCTCTAAGGGAGAAAGATAACAGAATCCTGTGAGTGTATACGGGTGTGGAAGTACCTATAACTCCTGCCCTCCATTCAGCCACATTTGCTGGGAGAACAAGGAACTGGCCCCCTCCATGAGGCAGCAGGGGTGCAAGACCTGGAGGGACCTAATGCCCTGATTTCATCATGGTCAGAACGAACCTTCACGTTATTCTCCAGCAAAACTAGTGTCAACTTTTAGAGCAGCAGCCAGAAATTACCAATCTGAAAACATAGCCAGTTCAACCCCACCTTAACTAAATGTACATTTCCTAGCTGGTATTACCGCCCAAAAAGGGTTCCTCATGCATTTTAGTTCTTCATGGGAAATTTTATAACACTCGAGTCCTCAGCTCAAAAGATTAAAGCAAACCGAACATTAAGAACTTCAGATTTCTTTTGTAAATAAGAGCTGAATTGACTTTAGTTGGTATCTAAGTAGTACCTTGAACAACTCTCCAGTCTAAAATCCAGTACCTGTTACTTTCATTTGACTTTAAACCAAACAAAAGTCAGGGAGTCCCCAGAATCAATGTCACAGCATTGTCATGACAATGGCATAACATTAGGTTCCTTCTCTTTACTGAAAGAGTAAATAAATCTAAGAGCCTATTAATTCTCTCTACACAAGGTTGTTGGACTTCAATGCCTGAAACAGATTAAAAGAAACAAATTAAAGGGGAAAGAGTGGCTGCCAAGGAAAAGTACACAAATTATAATGAGAAATAATGAATATAAATTAGGGAGTACATGGGTGTGGGTGTAAATAATCATGTGCTATAAAAACCTATGGCACTGATTGTATTCCCCACAGAACTACCATAAACATAGTAATAGTCATTGTATTTCAGCACAGTACTGTGAGTTATAGCCAACAAAATGAGGTCAGGACATGAGGAAAAGGTTTATTGGTTTTCAGCATTCTCTATTAACAAGTTGAAGAAGTAAATAATACACTGTAGAAAAAGTTCTACTAAAAAGTGTTGTCAATGCAATTAAAATGATATAGCATTACAAATGTAAAGAATTAGGCATTTGTAGATTTTGGCTATCCAGATGTGTTCATTCCCAAAGGGTTCCAGATTCCTGAGTTTCGCTTTAGAATTATAGACTTGCTAAAACTATTACCGGAGAGCTCAGAATATGTGGTCAACTACTGCTGTTTTGTCCACAGTCAATCCATGCATAGTCTGAAATGCCTGAAACAGATTAAAAGAAACAAATTAAAGGGGAAAGAGTGGCTGCCAAGGAAAAGTACACAAATTATAATGAGAAATAATGAATATAAATTAGGGAGTACATGTGCCTGAAACAGATTAAAAGAAACAAATTAAAGGGGAAAGAGTAGCTGCCAAGGAAAAGTACACAAATTATAATGAGAAATAATGAATATAAATTAGGGAGTACATGGGTGTGGGTGTAAATAATCATGTGCTATAAAAACCTATGGCACTGATTGTATTCCCCACAGAACTACCATAAACATAGTAATAGTCATTGTATTTCAGCACAGTACTGTGAGTTATAGCCAACAAAATGAGGTCAGGACATGAGGAAAAGGTTTATTGGTTTTCAGCATTCTCTATTAACAAGTTGAAGAAGTAAATAATACACTGTAGAAAAAGTTCTACTAAAAAGTGTTGTCAATGCAATTAAAATGATATAGCATTACAAATGTAAAGAATTAGGCATTTGTAGATTTTGGCTATCCAGATGTGTTCATTCCCAAAGGGTTCCAGATTCCTGAGTTTCGCTTTAGAATTATAGACTTGCTAAAACTATTACCGGAGAGCTCAGAATATGTGGTCAACTACTGCTGTTTTGTCCACAGTCAATCCATGCATAGTCTGAAATCACCTTCCACATTGCCCTGGCAAGGGAAGAGGGTTATCTCATCTGTTCCACAATCCCACGCCCGGTCTGCAAATAATCAGACATTGATTCTCGTGCAGTAATTGATGGGATGGGTAAGGATCGATGTTTTCTCAGACATTAATACTTTCTTCTTGTGGGAAACTACAAAATAACAGAACTGCAATGAGTCATTTTCATCTCACCATGAATCAAGTCATCAAATAATAGCATCAGCTTTGCTTAAGCGTAAGAGCTTAATTGGGAGGTCATTCCACACGTGTGAGTCCTAGGAAAACCCTCTACTCATGAGAAGTAGGGCAGCTGGTGACATCCGAGTTTTTCTTTTCTAGCAAACTCGAAAAGCATCTTTCCCAAACATGGGGACTGATGAAATCTAAAATGTCTTTAGCCACATGTTTTACATCAATTATCTTCAAAGCCATGTCTCGTTGTGTAATTTAAACCTTGACAGAAGACACTTTGTTTTCCTCATTCTCATGTCCTTGGTATATACACACACATAAAAATGCAGAATGTAAGAATTCCATGTATATTTGATTCTCTTAGAATAATCAAAAGGTGAAGAGTTATGTGGCTTCCAAGAAGTATTTTAAGTCACTAAAGCTTTTAAAGGCTTTTTTGTTTGAACCTTGAAGAGACATAAAGTAGACATTGAACAGATTTCAATGTCCTAACTCTTTAGATGGGAAGGCCAGAGTCCCATGTATTAATTATCTTCAAAACGCAAAGGATGTTAATGAGGATGGGGCTCCACCTATGTCCCATGAAGAACTGCAAGTTTTTCTGTGAAATTTCAGACATCTTTCTTTCTCACCTCAGTCTCCCTCATTTGCTGCAGGTTCCACATTCTGCTCTTCCTCACTAAGGATGCAACAACCTGCTCGTAGTTCTACCCTGGAAAAGCACAAAGCAGTGCCAGAGGGAGAATGGCACTTGAATGCAGAGAGTGAGCAACCCCAGCATGGTCCAGGGAACAGCAACTCGGACAGTGTTCCCTGGAAGCTTCCAGCAATGGGTCCTCGCAGCTTCTCGGAGAAGATGGAGTCATCCTGCCCAGAGGGGCAACCCGGAGGCTGCGGAGTGTCTCCTCAGCCCCCGCTGCGGAGCCTGTCAAAGCAGCACTGTGAGAACCAGGGGACTCTTCTCCAGTTTGAGCGGCAAGCCCTGGGACGCATTTCCACCTCCCCCACATTGAGGAGGTTGAGGGGCAGCAGCTCTGGGACTTTGCACTTGCGGCCTCAGCGGGCTACCTCGGAAGTACCCACCTGGGGAAGCCCAGGAGACCCTGCAGACTCCCCATGTCACCTCTCCAAGGGACCACCTGGAAGCCCAGAGGATTCTTCACACCCCCTCTCACCCTTGAGACTCCACTCCAGATTGCCTTCGGACCCTGACAGGGCCCTGCACACAGCTGCCTCCTCTGAGCCACCACCCAGGCCCACTGACGAGTACACCCTGCCTGGGCTTCAGCCCATTTGCGACGGGCACCTCCACCAGGACTCTCTTCTGGGGCAAGAAGGCCACTGGCTGCCCAGCCCCACCCCATGGCACCCTAGTCCTCAGGTAACACAGTGCTAAGCCCTGCTGTCCCTCATCTGGTGGAGAACAAAACCCAATAGGTCTCGGGGTTGCCACAATCTCCCAAAGGGCAGGAGGTCCTGTGATAGGAGGCAGCAGAGAATGTCCCTGCTGAGGGGACACACACTTGTTAGGATGCATTGGCTCTCAAGTAAAAGGGGTGCAGCAATTTGGGGAACAGGGAAAGTGGAGGCCTAGCCCACTTGCTTCTATATCCTTGAAGCACTTTCAGAAAAGACCCACCAAGGTCAGGCTACTGATAGTCTCTCAGGCACTGGATGGGAACAGGGGCTCTCTTGCAAATATACACCATTTGAAGACAACCTGGTGTGGCTGATCAAAAAGAGGAGAAAGAGCCAATTATTCAAATTTCTATTACCACCACCACCACCCCCCCAAAAAATTCAAAATATTTTAGCTAGGAGTGTTAATTGTTTGTCCTTGCAAGATGTCTGCTTTGGAATTTTGGATAGTTTTAAACAAGACTAAAACATATATTTCCCCCAAAAAATTCAAAATATTTTAGCTAGGAGTGTTAATTGTTTCTCCTTGCAAGATGTCTGCTTTGGAATTTTGGATAGTTTTAAACAAGACTAAAACATATATTTTTAAAATTTATTTCAGGGAGAAGAATCACGTCAGTCCAGGTCTGTATGCATTTATTTCCTCCAGTGTGATGACATCTCGTGACCATTTAGTTTTTCATCTTTATTTCTGTTCTGACACACAAATCTGATGGCGTATTAATCAGTGCTCTTTGTTCTACAATACCCAAGTTATTCTTCACGTCTATCGGTGAAAGAGTCTTAATTTCAAGAGTCTCCTTTAAGAGCACAGTACATTGCCATGGCTTTTGGGGGCGAGATATGACAGCCACATGTAGTCAATGGTTTTCATTGTGAATTGTCAATAACTAGGCTTAATTAACATCCACTTAGTAATAACAGGTTTTGTCTGGTAGAGAAAATGCGAAGGCTGGAAATATTCAAAGCTTTTCAAAGAGAAATTCAGAGGACAAGGATAAAAGGAACAAGATGTCCTATCTAAATTTTGGATGACTTTTGAGATGCCTGTTATGACAGACTGTGCCCTTACCTAGAATGCAAGTAGGTTGTGTCACTTCAGAAACCAGCTCTGACATTTCAGAATGGCCCCTAGGTTGTGGCAGTGGATTTGCCATCCTTCCCAGGGATGAGGAGCTTCTGTGGTATCAAAGGAAATATCCAGGCCTAATTTCATTTACCCAATTTGTGGGACTGGCAGGAAAGCCTTCATTTCACCTGGAAAGTCATAGAAGAGTCCTTGGAGAAAGAGCCACTGTTTTATTACTGGACCTCAATCTTCAAACAACAGTTTGCTGTTCATAGTAGAAAGAATGATATCCCTCTATGCATTCTTTGTTGATTTTAACCCTAGTTGTCCTAAATGTATGAACAAAGGTAGCGGATATTAACAAAGCCACAGAAAAATGTAAATTATTGTACTAGTGATTCAGTCAGTGATTGCTGCATAACAAACCACCCCAAACCACTTAAAGTAACAGCCAGTTATTGTTTGTTATAAATCTATTTGTCTCCTGGGGGTCAGTTGACCTAGGCTGGGCTCAGCTGGGCAGTTGTGTTCCACATGTCCCTCATCCTTTTTGTGGGACCAAAGGGCTACCTGGCCATGTACTTCTTAGAGTGAAGGGAGCTGTTCAAGAGGACGAGTGGAAACAGGCAAGGCCTCTTACAGACCAGGCTCTATCTTGTCTAATTTTTTTGACCAAAGCAAGTCATTGGTGGAACTCAGGGTCCAGGAATGACGTGTCACCAACGGTGGGAGAGCACTGACGTGTTAAGTAGCAAAGGGTGTGGATACAAGGATTGGGAAAGAGTGAGACCATTAGCCTGAATCTTCCATTGATGCAAAACAGAATAAAGCTCTAAAATAAAACCTAATTTAGATGTGTCATAGGAAGTGACACAGAGAAGCCTCAGAGAAAGATGATGACTTTGATTAGAGTCAAATCATGCAGGGTCTAACAGGATGTTTAGGAATTTTGTCCCTAACCTTAAGAGCAGTATAAAATTATTAAATAAACTGATATGATCAGATGGATGTAGGACAGACATGGGATTTAGATGACAGTGAACTCAAGCAGAACAATTAGAATGTTCTAAATTGGTAAGTTAGGCTATGATGAAGACAGTGGAGTTAAAACAGAGTATCTCAGTGCAAGAGATGTTTAGGAGATAAAATCACCTAGACTTTGTGAATGGTAGACCGT